TAGCATGATTCACTAATAACGCAGGAAATCTCCCTCTCCCCCATTTTGTTCATTGTGTCAAAATGAACCAAAGTGTGTGTGTGGAACAAGCAAAATAAAATGCCACATTTCTTGACGACTTCCATATTTTACTCTTCAGTGACATCTGTTCATTTTTCTCTGTTTCCCCTGAAGTAACCCTGTTTTCAACAGCATGGAGACTTTCCTTTGGATGTGTTATGGGGCGTCTACACAGCAGCATTAGTTCGGAATAAATAACTATGCGAGTGTCTACACAGCTAGTCTGTTCCTCTGAAATAGCTGCCCAAGTGTCTACATAGCAAGCCCATTATTGTGAAATATTTTAGAAATAGCGGGGGGCTTATTTCTGTGTTTGTAAACCACATTCCACAAGGAATAACGCCTCTTCCAGAAATAGCTATTTCGGAATTGCCGTAGTGTGGATGCCGCACTTCTGCTCTTTAAAAATAGCTTCTCCCCCAAGTCAGTCGAAGTAATGACTCCCCAGTGCCTCCTGGGGATCTAAATCGAGGTAGCGCATCCACATTAGGGGAGCCTGCTTCGGGCTAATTTCCAGGCTTCCCTGTACTGTAGATGCGTTATTCCAGAATAAGCTCGTTCAGAGTATTTCTTCCAGAACAGGTGACTCTGAAATAAGCGTGCAGTGTGACCAGGAGCAGCTTGAGGTGGGCTGCGGCAGCTGGCACCCCAGGAAGTGTGACCAGGAGTGGTTCGAGGTGGGCTGCGGCAGCTGGTTCCCCAGGCGGAATGTGCGATTGTCGCCCTCGCCTGCATGGCTGTCACTGGAGCGATGTCATCATCAGGCGCCCTGTGATGTCATCATTGGGCACCCTGTGACATCACCATCGGGCACACTGTGACGTCATCATTGGGCTAGTTGGCTTATAGTCTCAGTGTAGATGTAGCCTTAAATGAGGGCTACTCAATACGTGGGTGACCCAGAGGCGGATACGGTAGCAGGCTCCTTTATTGCAGTATCAGGCCGCCCGAGTGTAGATGTAGCCTTAAATGAGGGGTACTCAATACGTGGGTGACCCAGAGGAGGATACGGTAGCAGGCTCCTTTATTGCAGATACTCCTTCCACCTCAGACCCCCACAAACCTTAGAATGCAAATGAATCACAAATTGACCACGGGAACGTTTCTGTATTGTTGTTGGTATGTGGACCCCCACAAACCTTACTATGCAAATGAATCACAAATTGCCCACGGGAACGTTTCTGTATTGTTGTTGGTATGTAAATATACAACTCAATTACATCACCCTGTAACCCTAATTTAATAACGAGAACACTCTTATCATGCATAATCTTATTCATGTGATGAAAATAATTAGACCTGCCCCTGTTTACAGCTTTTTGGGCGGTTCTCGCATCACAAAGCTCTTGACATCAGCAAGATACAAGGGGAAAGGAGATGTGACCCAGCATGTTGATTTCAGAGCCAATGGGAGCAGAGAAGGGGGGAAGGAAGGCAGAGCATTAACACACAGCGCATCCATTAAAAGCGACACCCTTGGTACAGGTTAACACACAGAGCATCCATTAAAAGCGACATCCTTGGTACAGCTGCTTGCGTATCAACCCTGAGCAAGCAGGAAAGGAGGGATCAAAACAAGCCTATAAGTCAATAGAAGCAGGGTCTGCTCACGCCGTACCCCTTAGTTAAGCCTGACACAGCCCAACAGTAGGGGTGCTCTCTTGTGGGGTAGAAGGAAGCACAGAGTTGTCAGTCTGCCCTAGATCTGGCATTTGCACCTGCAGCACCACGAGGAGGTTTAGGCCTGGGCCATGATCCCCACACGTGGTGGAGCAGGTCTGCCTGCCTGTGTCAGGTCCTTGCCCCTTTTCACTGACAGGACCCCACAGCTGGGAGGGCCAGTGGAAAGATTCATTGCCTGTTCCAATGGGCCCTCAACCCATCTGTGTTTCCAAGCAGCAGAGGCCCAGGTAAAGCACGCAGCTTCCGTTCTGATCCGCCAGGAGGGATTTCCTCAGGGCTAGGGGCATTCCAGGTGTAGTCCCACAAGATGCCCCTGGAGAATAGAGCTTTTGAAACTTGGGGAACAGGTGCAATTTCCTGGTAACATCCAGCGCTTATGGAGCACTTTGCATCCAGCCAGCTCACGGCCCTTGCTCAAGGAGATCATTATTCCCATGGCCCTTTGAGCTGTGGGGAAACTGAGGCAGGAAAGGTCTCCCATGCAGCCGGGGCTGCAAATTTGGTCTGCTGAGGCCCAATAGAATGCTCTCTCAATAGACTCCCACACTCTGCCCAGACTCCTGGGGTCTTCTTTGACTCATCCAAGGCTCTAACTCTGACCTACGCACTGATGAAAAAGGATGTAACACTACCACTAAAGAACATGCACAAAGACCTTTCCAGGAATCCTTGTTCAAAGCTCAGCTCATAAGAACGGCCAGACTGGGACAGACCAAGGCTCCATCCAGCCCAGTATCCTGTCCCCCGGCAGTGGCCAATGCCAGGTGCCCCATAGGGAATGAATAGGACAGGGAATCATCCAGTGATCCCTTCTCTGTCACCCATTCCCAGCTTCTGACAAACTGGCTAGGGACATCATTCCTATCCACCCTGGCTAATAGCCAGTGATGCACCTACACTCCATGAATTTATCTAGCTCTTTTTTGAGCCCTGTTAAATTCCTGGTATTCACAAGATCCTGTGGCAAGGAGTTCCACAGATTGACTGAGCACTGTGTGAAGAAAAACTTCCTTTTCTTTGTTTTAAATCTGCTGCCTATTCATTTCATTTGGTGACCTCTAGTTCTTATGTTATGGGAACAAGTAAATAACTTTCTCCGTACCGGTCATCATTTTATAGACCTCTGTCATATCCTCCCCCCTTAGTCTCCTCTTTTCTAAGCTGAAAAGTCCAAGGCTTTTTAATCTCTCTTCATATGGCAGCCGTTCTGTGTTTCTGTGAAGAGGAGGTCGGATCTGACTTTTATGGAAGGAGCTGTGTGAATCCAGGAAAATACTCCAAGGGCTGGAAACACTGCCCTGACCCTCCTGACCCTCACTTTGTTGGGGGGAATATGCGGGGGTGGTGTGGCACCCTCAGGTTTAATGCAAGCTTTTTTCTCCCAGCCCCATATGTGGAGTCCTGGTTCCCAGCCCTTCACCTGGGGCTGTTGCTTCTGGCTCTTTATGTGGGGTTCCAGGTGCTGGCCCCATGCTGAGCAAATTTGGAGAAACTGAGGTTATACGGCGCTTGATTATTTTTGTACTTTTCACATCCAGAAATTCCATCGCCTTCCCGGCTATGATAAAATTGTTTAAACAAATGTGTTGCAATGGTAGAAAAAAAATGTGTGTCTGAAAACTGTAGGTACTGGGGTTCTGCTGTTACCCTCTCCTCTCCCAGCCCCACCCCTACCCCCACTGCAAAGCTGGGACACACAATATCTGCTAACCTGTTTGTTGGGGGGAAGCAGCACAGATGGGATAAGGGGTCTGGCTTTAAGCCAGTGCTGGGTTTATGCACAAGCTAAATAAGCTATAGCTTAAGACAGTGTTTCCCAACCAGTGGTACGAGTGCCCTTAGGGGTACTTGAGAGAATTCTGGGGGGTACGTCAACACAACTGAAATTTGGAGAAACTGAGGTTATACGGCGCTTGATTATTTTTGTACTTTTCACATCCAGAAATTACATCGCCTTCCCGGCTATGATAAAATTGTTTAAACAAATGTGTTGCAATGGTAGAAAAAAAATGTGTGTCTGAAAACTGTAGGTACTGGGGTTCTGCTGTTACCCTCTCCTCTCCCAGCCCCACCCCTACCCCCACTGCAGGGCTGGGGCACACAATATCTGCTAACCTGTGTGGGAGAAAAATCAAATAACTCCAATTGTGTCAAAGGGGAAAACTGCTGTAAGGGTTAAAGAGTTTTCCAGACCTCTCTCCCTGTAACAGAGAGAAATCATCTTAACTCTAATCAAGACCGTTATACGGCGCTTGATTATTTTTGTACTTTTCACATCCAGAAATTTCATCGCCTTCCCGGCTATGATAAAATTGTTTAAACAAATGTGTTGCAATGGTAGAAAAAAAATGTGTGTCTGAAAACTGTAGGTACTGGGGTTCTGCTGTTACCCTCTCCTCTCCCAGCCCCACCCCTACCCCCACTGCAGGGCTGGGGCACACAATATCTGCTAACCCCCCCCTCTCCAGGCACAGGTATGTGGTGGAAGGGCATGTGGGGAGTGTCTTTCTGCCTCTTAGTTGGGGGCCATGTGAGTGAGGCTAGCTTTTTTTTCCTTTTCCTTTCTCTGTGGGCACCAGAGACCCCTCCCCACCCCACCCTCCAATGCTGGTTTAGGGCCTCAAATTATGAGGGGCCCTCTAATAAAAGAAATGACTCTTTTTTAATTGCAGCCTCACATACCGGCCTAGATGCAAATATACAACTTTTTTGTTGAGGTGGAGGGGAATGTGGGGAGTGTCTTTCTGCCTCTCAATTGTGGGCCATGTGACTGAGACTAACTTTTTTTTTCTTTTCATTTGTGTGCGGCTCCTGACTGATTTTTCTGTGCTCGAGCGACCCCCGAGTCCCGTCCAATGCTGGTTTAGGGCCTCAGATTATGAGGGGCCCTTAAATCAAAAAAATGACTCGTTTTTAATTGCAGCCTCACGTACTGGCCTAGATGCAAATATACAACTTTTTTGTTTCTATTTTCATTCTCCTTTTAGTTGGAATCATGCACATTTCGGGGACAATGCGGTGGGGGCCTCTTAAACATGATATCATTTCAGACCTCAGCATGGCTGGCTCCGGCCCTGCTTTCCCTGGCACTGGGAATAAAGTCTGGTGTTTATAAACCTGTGGACACAAGTTCTGCTGAGCCTGCATCCTCCCGTGCCCTGGGGAATCAGGTAGGAACACGTCCGTAGCTGAGCACAGAGCTGAGCACAGAGATAGATCACTCATCAGGGAAATGTTGTGCCAGAGAGGTGTATCACGAATGCTGTCGAACCGGACATATATCTCCTTTTGCAATCTGGAAAAGATGTGGGAAGAGGGAAGATGTGCGAGGCGAGGCAGGTATATAAGCTGGTTGCAAGCTGACATCTTGAAGAAGGCTGTCAGGAAGTTTCTGAGAGCTAGCTGCAGAACCTGCACGTGGAGGTAAGGGATGTGGTGGTGGTGGTGGGGTGTGTGTGTGTGTGTGTGTGTGTGTGTGTGTGTGTGTGTGGGTTTAACCCTGCTTTATTCTCAAATGCTCAGATGAATACAAAGAAAATATTCAGCCAAACCTGGCCAACACCTGAAAAACGTTTGCCCCAAAGCTGTCCAAAAAACCCCCCCAAAACAAAAAAGGCCCCAAACTGCCAAATACTGATTTTTTTTCAGCTCAAAACTAAAAAAAAAGTTTGTCCAAGTAAATCATGAGAAGAAAATTGCCCCAGAGATGCTGCAAATAAACAATCAGAAAATAAAAAAGTTCCACGGTAGTTCCTTGCTCAAAGTTGTCCCAGTTAACTTTCAGAAGGGTAGTTGAGTTAGTCTGTAACAGAAAAAACTTAAAAAACAAGTAATAGTCTTGCAGCACCTTAAAGACTAATGAAACACGCAGATGCTATCATGAGCTTTTGTGGGCACAGCCCTCTTCTTCAGATTATTAAGTTTCCTTTGTTTCCTTATTAAGCTGTCAATGGCTCTTAGCCATGATGCGTGGGAGTCGTGTCCCTAAGCTGTTTGTCTGGAAATGGGTGACAGGAAAGGGATCACGTGAAGATTCCCTCTTGTATTTCCTCCCTCAGGGGCATCTGGCGTTGGCCGCTGTGGGCAGACAGGATAGATGGACCCTGTTCTGCAGTTCTTATGTTGTCGATCTCATAAAGAACACACTTGTTTAAAGCAATGTTGTGGTGTAAGGTTCTTTGCTTTGCCCCATTCCACCCCCCCACACAATGTTCCAGCCAGGGAGCAGAGTTGGGGCGCAGGGACTTACTGCACCCTGCTTGCCCGGCATTCAAGTTAGGGAGTGGACAAACCCCTAACTCTAATGGGGTCATTGGATTTGCTTCACATTGTTTCCCTTAAAGTTGCATTGTTCAGGAACATAACGACAATGTTAAGGAAAGAAAAATGTGGAGTCTTGTCGCTCCTTAGGGTGTGTCTACGCAGCAGCGTTACTCCGAAATAACAATCCGAGCGTCTACACAGCCATTCTGTGATTTCGAAATAACTTTGAAAAAACAGACGGCTTAGTCTGACTTCTGTAAACCTGGCTCCACGAGGAATAAGGCCTCTTCTGAAATAGCTATTTTGGAATCGCAGTCATGTGGACGCTCCACTCCTGCCATTTCGAAATAGCTTCTCCCCAGTGCCTCCTGAGGCTCTAAATCGAAGTGGAGCATCCACATTAGGGAACCTGCCTCAAACGAATTTTGAGGCTACCCTGTACTGTAGGGGTTTGTCTAGACTACAGGGTTTTGTCGACAAAAGCAGACTTTTGTCGACAAAACTATACCTGCGTCTACACTACCACCGTGTTCCGTCGACATAACGTCGACAGAACTCAGCAGTTTTGTCAACGCTGGTAAACCTCATTTATTGCATGTAAACTGTCCTTTGCGTCTACACTACCATGTCGACAAAGCAGCTTGCTTTGTCGACAGAACTGAATGTAATCTAGATCCTCTTTGTCGACAGAAGTTTTGTCGACAGTATCTGTCGACAAAACTTCTGTCGACAGAACCCTGTAGTCTAGACGTACCCTAGATGCGCTATTTTGAAATAAGCTATTTTGGAGTATTTCTTCAGGAGCAGCTTATTTCAAAGTAAGCGTGGAGTGTAGACGTGCCCTTAGAGCAGGGCGACTCCACACACGGCACGTGACCCATTTGTTTTCTGCCTGCGGTGCGGTTTGGGTTTACATGGGGCTCAACATGCTGCTCACAGGTGGGATCCTTTAAACATGACCTCCACTGGGAATACACTCCACAACACCGAGGCGTCTCCGAGGCGGGGTGAGCACTGAATGACTCAAGCAGATGGGCAGACTGGAGCCAACGGCTATAGGGTGTTGGTGTGCCTAGTCCACAGGGAGGAGGTTCCAGGAGCCCTGGGGCATTGTGGGAAAAAACTATTTGCACGTATTTGCATGTATATGCACCTCCTTGTCAGTTGTGGCCCTTGGTATGTGCTCTGAGTTCCATTGAGGCCCCCAGGACTTCCAAAGTTGAGTAGCCCTGCCTTAGAGAATAACTAAAATATATAGAATCCTGAGAGTTTGTGGGTAAAAGCCACTTCATCAGATGAAATGGAGTGGAAATTACTGAGCCAGGGGTGTGTGTGTATCTATATCTATATCTATATCTATATCTATATCTATATCTATATCTATATCTATATCTATATCTATATCTATATCTATATCTATATCTATATCTATATCTATATCTATATCTATATCTATATCTATATCTATATCTATATCTATATCTATATCTATATCTATATCTATATCTATATCTATATCTATATCTATATCTATATCTATATCTATATCTATATCTATATCTATATCTATATCTATATCTATATCTATATCTATATCTATATCTATATCTATATCTATATCTATATCTATATCTATATCTATATCTATATCTATATCTATATCTATATCTATATCTATATCTATATCTATATCTATATCTATATCTATATCTATATCTATATCTATATCTATATCTATATCTATATCTATATCTATATCTATATCTATATCTATATCTATATCTATATCTATATCTATATCTATATCTATATCTATAACACCCAGCGTTACAGCGTTAAAGAGTCACAGACATTGGGCTACTATATATATGATATGAAAGTTCAATAAAAGTGACTTATTATGTGTTAATGAGGCTAATAAAATCAGGGTAGATATGGCTCATTTGCTGCAGCTGATGGGGAGATGTGACTATCAAGAGAGGGGAAGATGCCTTTGTAGTGTAGATGCCTCTCCCCCCCACTGCACCCCCTTTCTCCAGATTTCCCTCCACTGCTCCGCTTCTCACTCCTCCGCCACCAAGAAAGGGGGTGGAGGAAAGGAGGGACAAGACGAGGGGCAGAGGAGGGGAGCCAAGTAAATAAGGGGTGTGTGGTCTGGGTGCAGTGTGGGCGGGATCAGGGTGGAGTGGGGGGGGGGGCATGAAGAGGTGGGGCAGGAAGCTAGCCCCCCACAGGGGAAGTTTTACTCACCGCCCCATGGGCAGCATTGCCCTCGACAGCACGTTTTCCAGGGTTTGGTTCGGTTTTGTGTTCGCATTCCAGTCACACACACACCGACGCCACACAATCGCACGCCCAGGCGAAGACCGGGGGTGATGTCTCAAAGGCTGGCTGGGGAAGGCTGGCTCTCCCAGCCACGCGCTTTTCCCCCAAAGCCCCGCCCTTTCTGTGCTCCTTGGAGCCCACCTGGTCCTCACTGCAGCCACTGAGCCCTG